TACAACCTCGGAGCTCCTGGTGAAATCCTGTCCTACCTAGATGATACCACAATCCTTTGTTTTCTGAAGCTGTCAAACCTTTGAGGTAAAATGCCACACAAAAGTGAAACCCAGTTGTATTTGGAAGCCTACTCCTCCGTGGGAGTTCTAATCACAGTGAGAATAGCTCTGGGCTACAGAGAGCAGCTTTCAGTACAGGAGGCAGCCATTAAATGCTTTCTGCACTCCCTTAGTTATTCCAGCTGAGAGCAACGAAGTCCTCCTTAAATGCATAAAAGTCAAAGTGCCCAGGAGGTAAGGAAATGAGATGGTACTTTGCTGCCAAATATTATTTTCCATTCAAATGGTCTACAATCACACATGCAACGCAGAACCAGAGTTCAGACCAGAAGGGATGCAGCACTGGCAAGAAATTCTGTGTCCAAAATCTAATGACATTTTATCACCTGGTAACTACCCACAGGTTTGGCTCTAGATGAAGTTGCCTTCCTCTTTCCATCCCCAGCCCAGCTACTCTAGAGATAGCCTGTAACCTCCAGTCCAGGCTGGGTGTGGGAGTGGTTTCCAGCCCAATTGGCAATGGAGGTGCTTGGCCTTGATGACCCAGGGACACCCTGTGACCCACTCAGATGCCCGAGGTGGATGCTGCAGTGGACAGGACTGCTGAGAAGACAAGCACTCTTTTCACCTCTCTGCACTTCTCAAACATGAGGCAGTGGGTCTGAAAGTCCATCGGCTGTTGGCCATCACATATAACTGGAAGGCAGGCTACACCCAGGGGAGGAAAGCTGAATGCTGGTGAGACACTGGCTCCTTATGACCTACTCTGAAGAATGCATTTGTGCATGTAAATTTTCATGTTACAACATCACAGATCCAAGATCTTTCTTAGATTTGGCTTTTTCTCCCCTTGCAGTCAAAATAGTCCTGACAACCAATGAAAACGGAGAAGCAAAGTTTTGGTGTTGGTGGAGGCTTCCCTTATTGTACAGGCAAGGACAGAAACTGAGGGCAGCAAGTGGCTTCCCAGGCCCCCTGGCAGCATAATTGCCAAGGCTAGAACCCAGGTTTCCGGCCTTCTCATGTGATGTTTTCACAACACCATGGGAAAATTAACAGATAATTATGAAACACATGGCTTGTTTAAATCTTCTAATTCAAACTGTGCTCCAGTTAAAACATTTATGTGTTGGACATTATGTTTTTAAAAAGAATTTATACTGAGTATTTTGTAATCCTTTACATTGTTACATAATATATGAGCAACTTGAAAATATATTAATAAACTAAATGTCTCAGAAATGTGCTTGTGGTCTGCTGTTGCAGCAACAGAATAGCCTGACACAATAGCTTAAAATGTTTTATTAAGTATATATAATATTACAGGGTAATATTTACAAAGTTATGTTCCTTTTTAAATAAAAAAGTATATTCCCAAAGATTGCAGATATTCAAAGCTTCAAACAGTGATAAATTGATTTAATACATATAAAAAAAACTTTGAATGGTAACACAGCTGTAAAACAACTTTGGTCTTTAAATCACTGCAAAAAAAATGGCTACCGACATATAGTACACCTTTAATTGCTATGCAGAAAAGCCCCCAAGAGAGCACCTTGCACGTACCAACACTGGAGTTCTCTTTATCTGGAATGGTTAATGGATATTTATATGATGTGGAATCTAATTCTTAACAGTGGCTTTGTTGTAAATAATGCTGTTTAATAAAAACAAAAATGTTTTCCTCTTAACCAATCAAGCTAACAACACTTTTAAAGATTCCACTGATACTGTCTTACAGAGAAGCTCATTACAAATGCTTGCTTTGTCTTCCCCAAAAGATTAGATTTATGGAAAAGCTGGTCTTAAATGATCATAATTACAAGCTATCAAAGTTAAAGGCAAAAAAACTTTCTGGTCACTGCTCATCTCTTCAAAGTTAATTTGGATTATCCCTATTAGCTACTGAAAATGACTTAAAGGAAATCCCAATGGGTGGTGACAGTTAGTGATTTTTGAATATGTGATACACATGTAAACTAATGTTACTAAATAAATCCTCAATCAAATAAAGCACAATGAAAAGATAAAGGGTTGTCAATTATTTCTCTAGTTTCCAACAACAGGTAAATAGAGGGTTATATATTTCCATACATACACCACTGAACCCCGTTTTTGAATACCCATTGTAAAACGAGAAACCTAGAAAATTATGTACATTTAAACTTTTTATTAATAAGATGGAGGAATAAACATCACTTTTGAGCTTTATTAACTCAAATCATAATCTGCTTGGTCACTCACTAAACTAATTATAGCATCGTAGACCTATTTTAATTCTCACATTCTCAAGAATTTAAACAGAAAGGACATGGAATTTCCAGGTGGAAAATCATTATCGTTTATGGTTTTCAGAGCATGTGAAATTTGTCAAAAAAGAAAATTCTTTGGCTAACCCTATTAAAATAGTGAGAAATTTAAATACAGCCAGATCTCAATCATTAAACTTGTGTACCAAGTATCTAATGTATGCAAAACACTGTAGGAAGATAGAAAGGAAAGAAGAAAAGCTCTTACTAGGGGAGCAATTTTAAGTTGAGTGAGAACAATACAAAACCTCAACAGAGCTGAGCAGAGATACATGAAGCACCAGGGAAGGTAAGAGATGAAAGAGGCTGCTGGACAGATGGGGACAGACTGCAGAGGACATCCGGGGCGAGGAAAGGGCTGGGCAGAATTTTTGAAGGAGGAAAAAAAAATTAATTTGGCCCAAAACTCTGGAAAGGCTATTGCAGAGAATGATAAATGGTATCATTCTAACAACATATGATAAATACAACTGAATGGAGGTGACAGCAAAAATGGGGATCAGAGTAAAAAGCGTGTTGTGGGGCAAAACAGACATAATGCTCAAAACACTGCTTGCAATTTAATTTGATGTGGGAGAAACCTGGAGCCATTATGAGTCTGATTTAAAGACAATGAACTGGCCCAATAATGCCCAGGCTAGACGACTCTGGATGCTGTGGTCCCCTATCCAGAGAAGCTGACAATGACTTGACAGGAGTTGATTTCCTCTGGTATCTCCCCTGCTGCTTCTGATGGCACTGTGTAGGGCAGTGAATGCCTTAAAAGACAGGCAGCATTAAAGAGAAAACAACAGATGGTCATACCCAGGGAGTTAAACCCCAAATAAGAGAGCATTTACTACATATTAAAACATTTAACTTTAGTTCATAAAAAATTGGACTATAAAGATTTTCATACCTTTCTTAACAGAGAATAGGAATTTGGATCTTTTTCAAGTCCATCTGCTTTATCCCCTCCTTCCATCAAAACTGATTTCTAAACTAACAAACAATATTAGCAAAGTGTAAATATTTTCAGAAGAAAAAAGAGCAGCAGGAGTCATCAGTTTTGTATAGAGGAATACAGCTCCCTCTCCATATGCTAGTATTTTGGACAGTTACACAACTGAGGAAGAGAAAAAACACATATGCATATTCTTCTCCAAAAAGAGCTGTTTTGATAGTGTGTTCAGTTTCCGAGAGGCCTTAGTAGGTTTTAAGTTTAGGTTTGCCATGGGCAAACCACTTGGTCCCGACATGAAATATTATAATAAGTTTGGCAGAGAAGAGGCACATGGAAACATTTAGTGGACTAAGAAACAACTATTAGTAATGCCGCTATAAATATGAATGTCTTATTACACAAACAGGAAGAATTACTAGTATTTTAGAGGATATTGGTGAGCAGTCAAAAAGCTTTGCAAATTACCTAGAAGTTTTTAAAGTTTTAAGTGATCCAATATTTGCATCAAATGTAATTCCACCCAATGAAGACCTTTGTTTTTTAAATGTTTTTACTAAAAGTACGAGGTTAACATTTGCTCCTCTGTAGGTACCGCACTTTTGTCCTTACAGAAGAGGCACGTGCCTACCTTATACATGTGCACATACAACACACACCCACAAACGAGGTAAAAAGCGAGTGCTATTAATCTAAAAGTACTCCAGGCGATCACAACTGTCAGAACGTTAATTTTCTTCTAAGGAGGAGAGGTGGAGGGGTAGGAAATGTGGCAGTGAGTTTCACTTTTCAATCTTATGGAAGGAGAGCAGGAGGCAGGACTACAGGAGGAGGTGATGAGTGTTTATCATGCAACAGAGACACAACAGGAGTAAAACTGCCCCCTTGAAAGAGGGCCGGCCTCAGGGCCTGATGGAGACACACATTATGTTGCCATGCAGGAGACTCATTGTTCAGATTTCAGTCTTGCTTTTTCATGCCTCCAATCAGAAAAGAAGTGAAGAAACACTGTAGATTTTTGCCTTCAAATCAGAGGAAGGGAATACATATGTTACAACCATAGCTATTTTTTGCTGAAAGGTGTGAACACAGTGCTTTGAGAATAAGTCTGGCTCCTTTCTGCAATGATGTACCATGTCATTGGACTATATTCAAAGAGGAGTAAAGGTGCTACATCTTGTACAGCAGAACCAAGTTAACATGGGGACAAGACAAGGTACAAAGGGTAGTATCAACAAAAGAAAAACACATTCATTCATAAAAGTACCCTAAATCTGAGAGGATCTATCACACCGTATGTTGAAGGGGGAATGTGTTGAATGGCAACTCCCAAGAACAAAGACCACTCTCTCCATTAATATTACAGCACATACAGGTCACATACAAGGTTTTCCCAAATTCTCATCTCTACCTATGTCACCATTACTGACCCAGAAGCAGCAGACACATTATTCAGCTGCAGTGTAGCTGCCAAAGCTGCTGAAGCCTGAGTTTACTAGTGTTTGATGGAAGCCACTGTTTTTCATAGATATCGCTGAGTAGCCACCAGATTAGTGCTAGGTAATTCTCAACCAGAACCAATTTAAACCTAGAGGTAAGGAGCCCTAGGAGCTGAAAGGTATCATTCTTGGAAGTTGCCTCCCTACTTCTGCCCCTAATTTAATAAAAATAACAACAGAAAACTAGATATCTCAATTGGGCACAAAACACAGATCATACTTCTTTTATTAACTAAATTACAGCTGCTTTGAATAAAAACTGGAATAATCATTTATGGGTCAATGACTTTTTTCCCACAGATGAACACCAGTTACTTTTTTTCTTCTTCTTCCCACCAGTGAATCATCAAAGGCCATGGTGCTTAAACACAAGTGTATTCCTTCACATCTTGACTCCCCAAATCAGAGTTCATCATTTTGCTTCAGTTATTCTGGAAAATTAAAAATGCACATATCATTGTCACTATTCAGGTCTACTTTCTTTGCATGAAGAAGTGCTTAGAAAAATCTGGAATTGTTTCAGATATACAATATTTAAAAATTATCTATCTGTCTGCAAAGGTTACAGACAAAAGCCAAGCTAATAAAAATCAACAGTGTGATGATCGTTTGTTGAGAGAGCTGCAGAAAAGCTAAGTGACGTTGATTTTTCAAAGCAAAATATATTCATCCTAGGATAATATTCTATCTTTCACTTTAGATCTACATCATTTGATTTAATGTGGTCAGGCACAGATCAAAAAGGAAATGCCTGGGACATCTACCTTGGCCCTCATTCATTAACAAGGCAGGAACATTACAAGCATTAAGCAAGTTGTCAGCTGGGGCAGGGGATTTAGCTCAGTGGTTCTGCCACCTGCCTAGCAAGCACAAGGACCCGAGTTTGATCCTGGGTACCAAAAAAACCAAAAGCAAGTGTCAGCTAAGAGCCCATCAGGCAGACATTCAACAAATAAACCGATCAGCTAAGTACTATAACAATTAAAAGGATTTTCAATAATCATCACAGATCTCATGTGTCATGAACAAAAAATTCAAGGTAAAAACTGCTTTAGAACATCTCCTGCTACAGAGGTTTTAAAAAAAATCACATTTTATTTAAGGGAAATTAACAAAGGAAGAGGCACTCAAGATTATTATATACTGGCTTTCTGAAAATAGAGAAAAGTTGTTTCTTCGTACAACCATTGAAAAATGACACCACAGTAGGAAAATGAAAGAACAAAGAAAATGAACAGGACAGTGGAATCTAAATATGGCTAATCCATGCCATGCCATGATTCCAGATACCATTTTGTTTGAAGGTGGCAGTGGTTTGTATAACAAAACATGCATTTAAGGGCTGTGACACAAACTCCAAAAGTGGAATTATGCTATTGCTCTTTGTGTTCAATGTGTGTGAATGTACGCCTAAACATTGTTTTAAATTTAGTTCACATATGATCAGAACATTTTTAACCTTATGCAAAAATTAATTGTACTCACGGAAACAAAGCCTCCTGTGTTAAATGCTGCACTGTATTACAGAAGTGAGCAGGTAGGTCACAGACTTTAAAATGGTAAATTAAAAGGCAAACTGTTTATATCAGCAAGGGATGATTACAAATATCAAAGGGATGAAGAAATCTAGATCTTTCTCAAATGGGAAGAGGATCAAGAGATGGAGGGCAGGAAGGAGGAGGGAGTGGGGATGAAAAAAAGAATTGAGACGTGTTCTGTACATGTACCAACTTCACACAAGGAGTACAAACATTATGTTCTGCCAACATGCACTAAGAAAAAGGCTTCTCTTATCTTCTCCTGTGACCAAATTTTAATATATACTGTTATGCAAGCAATGAGAGTAAAAAGTCAATGCTACGAAAGCACAGTTATTAAATGCCAATGGAACTAAAGACTAATAGCATATTAAGATAAAGAAAAAATGAACTCAGCACTCAGTATCTCAGATACTTAAGAATTAACAAATATATGGCTTTGAAATATGCAATGAAGATTAGAAGTCATTATTAGTCTAGAGTTCCAAAAAAAGAAGCAAAAGCTGAAGTGATTAAACATCTCCTTCTAATCCTTTCCTGAAAAGTTAGAACCAAATTCTTGCTTAGAAAAAAAAGCAGACATATGGGTAAAATGCAACAAAATCACCAACATAAGCATAAAAGAAACTGTCAAATGGCAAAGATTTGCACCAGATTATTAGTATACTTTATGAGAAGCATTTTAAATTACAGTCAACAGGTGCTGAAACTGAGAAATGTCTTATACAGTGCTACACCTTCTGTAAGTGTAGTTCTACAGTTTTTAGCAAAGTAGATATAATTTTTATACATCAAGAGATATGGACCTTTATAATTTGACAGTGTTCTTTTTATCTAAAAAAGGTCAAACTTTCAAGCAGCTTTTTGCTTTCTTTTCAATGTCCACATTTCAACTAAGCTCTACTTATAGGTGTATTTTATACTTACCCTCATTCATCATTCCTTTTGATTCTTTAAATGCTAAGGATTAGTAACAAGCCAAGGAAGTAGTTAGTAAGGTTCCACAATCAGAAATCATTTAAAAATAAACAAATAGGTAGCAACATCATCCCAACTATTCTACAAATACATAGCCGTTTAAGGCTATCATTTTGTTACAAAGCCTTTCTGTGGATCACACCCTCAGCATACAATGAAAAGAGATTCAGCTGGGCATATAAGATCTAGATTTGCATAGAAAGAAGGTGAAACAGTTTGGTTTCACTTCAGGTAGACAGCTTGTATCTTTCTGAAATTTACAAGTTAGATGGAAATAACTGAGATTCTTTACTATTTGGGTGCTATGCTTCATTCTGGCCAACATAGAAGGGAAACGGTCCTGTTGCCCAAGTATTAGCTGGCTAGGGAAAGCAACTCATCAGGGATACAAAATAGTACATTTTTTCTCAAATGTAAGAATATTATAAAAGCAAAATTCCTACTTCTTCATGAATTAAAGACAAAAGCAAGCAGGGGCGGCGGGGGGGACCACTACTAGATTCTCCCCAAGACATAGATGGACTTTCTAACTTCCTCAAGGCCAGTTCAAATTATGATCTGATAATGGATCAAGAAGAACACATACCATTAAGGGGTTCCTCTACAGCTTTCTGGAAAATATTTAAAATATATTTACATAAAATATAACTTATTTCATGTCTTTTATACTAAAACATATACATATTAATGTCTAAAGTATGTAAGCAGTGAATCCAATAGTCTAAAAACAAAATAAGGCAATAAATGCTGAAGCAAAGCTTACCAATTGTAGTTAATAGTTTAATAGTACTATTCTCTATATCCTTTTTCTATGCAGAATTTCCAGCCTACCCACCTCCCTCAGTTCAAGAAACCTAACTTCCTACAAAACTATTAAAGGCAAACACGAAAATAGGAACAACAGAATAAACAATATAGTTAAACAAGACATGGAAGTGAAACAAAATTATTTTCAAGTGATGCAAACTGAATTCAATAATAGGGAAAGAAAATTGCTAGGATGTAAAGGTCTAATGGTTGCGTTATCATCTCTAAGAGGCTCTTTAGAAAGTACTGGCTGCTTGTAACCAACATAGCTATGACACCAGTCTTTTCAGACTAGTGTGAAATAAATGGCTAGAGTGACACAAACACAGCGTGTCCCAACCTGCCCTGCAGCCTTGTCAGAATGAGGAGCCCTTCCTGCACAGACAGCATGCTCTCTCTGGGACTCCAGACAGTTCGATCATCGATCCTTTATAGGAAGCTGCGTAATATAGTCCTCTCCAGATCTTATTTCCATAAAACAGCTTTTGAGCCTGTAACCATGATGAGTATATATTTATGAAGATTTTTTTCTCATTTATTCCCTCCAAAATTTGCTCCTTTTCTTGGAAGTTTTTCAGAGAGCTTTAAGGTATCCAAAGTACAGGGAAACCTACAGTACAGTTCTCAGGGAGAAAAAAGTTTATAAAATGCGGAAGGGGTGAATCACACCTCAGAAGTTTTCCCCAGCAATATTTACATTTATATCATAGGTTCTAATTTGAATACACTTAATTTAATATAAATTTATCTTCCTTATTTTTAGGCTTGAAATTGTCATTCAGTGTATTCACATGAAAAGGATCGAAGAGAGGAGGCAATATGATGGAATCAGCTTTCTTCTGATGGAAAAGCTAAAAACTATTATTCCTACTCATAAGTTTTCCACTTCTACAGAAGATCTAAGAAGTCAGTACAATCTTAAAAGATCAGTTATTCCATCCCATTGATACTCAAATAACCAAACCTGAGTTTTAAAACAGAATTGAACCCATTCATGCAAAGGTCATTAAATGACTTCAACATTATTTAATTTGTATGAAACTAAACATTAAGCAGAACAGTTCAATAACTCATCAACTGATCATTCCGAATTCATTTAATAAAATTTAACTTACCCTAGGAGGTTGTATAGTCCTCTGATTGGAGGCTGATATAAATAAGAATATAAAGTTAATAAATGAAATAAACTAAGGTAATATAATGCTTAGTTTTAACATAAAATATTCAGGACTAAAACGGGAAAAGTCCCAGAGACTCCAATGAAGGAGTTCCAATTTTAATAGTCCATTTAAAAATACAGAATATTCTTGACTGTACGCATTGATACAAGAAAATGAAGTGAGCAACTCACTTGTTAATCTGCTAATAAATACACACATTCTCTCATCTGTGCATGCCATCTTTCCTCCAAATCAGCCACTCAAAAAAACACTATCCCCATCACCCTCTCTGTGGGCTCTCCATCTCTTCCCATCCCACCAGGCAGGATGTGGACAAATGCGGCAACGATTGACCTCCCATCTGGCTCCACTGTCCTTAACTCACTGCTCATGTTTCTTGTAGCCCAGCTTCCACCCCATCTTTCCAGTTTTTAAGGCTCTAGATAACTAACAAACTAAAACAAAAGAAAAAAGAAAAAATCAGATGCCTCTAGTTTTAGAAAATTATTCTAGACAGCTAGTTCCTGCCAATGAAGCCTTCTTCTATGTAGTATTCCCTTTTTGGTTTTCTGAGTTTTCTTTTACACTGTTTCTGAATGGGTTACTGAAGATGAATACAGAGCAATAGAAGAAAGAGATAACTTTCCTCTAAAAACCAAGGAAGGAGGCCCCAGAGCAGCTAAAGCTAGTCCTTAATATGCAATCAGAGTCCTACAGGCATGAAAACATCTTCCAGCAACATTCTTTGAATCATTTAGTAAAGGTTATCCTACTGTATTATTCTAATATTCCTTTCCTATACCGAATTTTCCATGCCATCCTGTCTGCTTCTTGAAAAAAATACTAAAGAGAGCAAACATACAAATAGCAATGAAAGAAAAAAATGATATAGCTAAACAAGAGACGGAAGCAAAACAGAAAAAAAGAGGAAGGCATCCTGTCCCAAGCTGCTGTTGCAGTGTCTGACTTCGTCCTGCCCCAGGAGGGAGGCCTGTACATGGTGGAGTACTCTGCTCCGGAGAACAGTCAAATGCCCAAGACAACTAGCCCATCCCTTTTGTCTTCAAGCAAGTTTGTCATCAAAGGTTTTAGCAAAGTGATAGCAGCTTGATACAAGGACAGGCCTCCTTGCCGCCTCCACCACCACGATGTCCCCATGCCAGTGTCCTGGACCCTGCCCTGCCAGGGGAGAAGTAGCTTGTTGGCCAGGAGGGCATAATGACCCCCATCCTGCCCACTGTGGGGCCAGGGTAGGATCTGTGGTACTTCCAGCCTCCTGTCAAGCCACCCTGCATGCCACCAAGCCCATGGCCTTGCATTCCAAGAAATGTGTGGGCAGTGGCTTGGGACAAGGATTCGGTCTGCATTTTGGAAGAGCCACTTTGTCATCACGTACTGACATCAGAGTCCTCCGTGACAGAATCGGGCCACAGGGCATCCAGGGCTCAGTCTCACCTACACTAACCTGTGCATACCATGAACGGTAAACACCTTCATGTGGCCATGTCACGTGCAAATAAGAGGCCTGTGACATCACGGTGTCCCTTCTAACATTTCATTATTAGCAACTTAAGGGTTGTTCTTAACGCATGTGAACAAAACTAAAATTGCCTGGGTGTTCCACAAACCTCTGTGTGATATGTGTACACCCTCACCTGGAAGAGAAGTAAACCACTTGTACTAAAAAAAAAAAAGAAAAAAGAAGTCATGCAAGGTGAACTCAGTAACAGGAAAAGAATGTATGTTAAGATTTCTAAAAAAAAAAATAGCATTTCTAGGATTTGGCTGGGGATTTATCTCAGTGGCACTGTGCCTGCCTCACAAGTACAAGGTCCTGAGTTTGATCCCCAGGATCAAAAAGAAAAAAATTTCTAGGATTCCATTGTAATTTGGCCTAGGCAACAGCACTGGATTTGCTTATTAGCAGACTGAGGCCAGCCATAGGACTACTTTCCTGATCTGTGTTATTTACTTATTACCACTCCTTCACCCCCACGCCATTAAGCTTCTAGGGCTTAAAAAAAATGGGGGTGGTTTGTGATTCAAGGTCAGCCTATCTATGAACTACCCTGGTAGGGCTGGCTCAAACAGGAAAATGGCTATGGGGTGGCCAAGTAAGTTTCCCATTCTCACTGGAATCAGAAGAGGAGAAATATAAAGACTAGAAAGTTGGTGATGGGAAGAGAAGGTGAAAAAGAAACAACATAAAAAAGGAGCAGCTTAAAGTTCAGAGTTATAGGCAAGAAAAGCTATGAGAAGACATGAACGGGACAAAAAATAGGACATAAAGAGGCTGAACTAGCTAGCTAACAGGTACAGAATCAAAGGCAGAGGAACTCAGTAAGCATAAGTGACAGAAGGGCAGCAACTACCTGTTGGTGCAGAGAGGACAGGTGACGACTCAGTCCTTAGCAATATACTGGCTGCCCTTATGACCTGGCTATCTTTGCTAACAGAAGCCCTTGGGAGAGTGTTTTTTTCTTTATATTCAAATATGAAGGCAACTTCTTTTTAAAGGAAAAATGGGTTGGAATACATCCCATTTAACAGCCTTCCAAATTAAAAAGGCAGAATGACAGAACTTCAATGGGACCATTTAGAGAGTTACATGTATATACAACTGATTTCAAGTAAACCACACCCTATATATAAATGTTGTAAAGGAAAAGAGAATCAAACAGCTATCTAAAATTCTGATTGGTGGGGCAGGGATTTAGCTCAATGGTACTCCAACTGCCTTGCAAGTGCAAGGTCTTGAGTTCGATCCCCCGGTACCGCAAAAAAAAAAAAAAAAAAAAGTCTGACTGGTACTATGAAGGGCCCGAGGTAATATAGTAAAAGTTGAGCTCACTTATGTGTTTATCAGAATTAAAAACTGACAATTAACTCTCCTTCCTCCCCACTAATGTGTATGTGTGTAGATATCTGTATTTCTTACATGCTACTGCACTAAGTCATTTTTCTTTTTTTTTTTTTTTTTGGTACCGGGATTGAACTCAGGACCTTGAGCTTGTGAGGTAGG